CTCTACTCAGCCAATCTTACAGACTTTGGCTATCCGCTTCTCCAACATAAATGGGCGCGCTCTGCTCAAGGACAGAGCCAGTGGAAGGAGCTCAGGACGATTACGATCAGCACCATAGGAAGGGTCATTCACATACCGATTTTATGACTCGTCTAACAAAACGCGCAAAGATTTCTCGGATGGGAGAGCCAGCTCTAGATGATGCCGCGGCTGCGCGGAACCATATCCAGGCCCATGATGCTGAGATCTTGGCACGAGGTGTTCTTATCGAAAAGGCAGAAATCACTGATGTCGTGACGCAAGAGCCTGGAGTCGTTGGGGAGTACTTCAAGTTGCGACAACAGATGGTAGCGCGAGAGAAGGCTCTGGATTTTGACCATGGATGCCGCATGCGCAGCACTCCTTCAGAGAGACGAGCAGAAGCCATCCTTCAGAGACTGAGGAGTGAGGATGAGGAAAATGTATATGCTCAGGCCGCACCACGAACAGGCTATGGTGGCCAGCAGCACCCTCGTTTTCCTGGAGATCATTTTCTATCGAACAAGCATCTCATCGACTCAACGTCCTTGTTCCGCGTAGCGCAGCATATGCCCAAGGGTGGTCACTTGCACATTCATTTCAACGCCTGTCTTGCTCCCCAAGTCCTGCTCAATCTTGCAAAGGAGATGGACCGGATGTTTATCACCAGCGATATACCCCTTGTTTCGGACAATGATTTTATTAATTTCGATCGATGTGAAATCCAATTTTCTCTATTGAGCCCAGAGAAGGAAACACCTGGCGACTTGTTTTCAGAGGCATATCAACCTCGGCAGACGATGCGGTTTAGAGATTTTCTTGACAGGTTCCCTGGATATTATGCAAAAGATTCAACCAATGTTGATGAGTGGCTATTCGAGAAGCTCATGTTTCACGAGGGGGAGGCGCATAATCATTTGCAGACTGCATCGGGGTACGTTCACGATCTATACTTTGTATGCAGACACTAACGTAGCATAGAGCTTGGGAAAAGTTCAACGGGCGGACACGTATGATGAAGGGTCTCTTCAACTATGCGACAGCATATCGAAGGTACACTCGGTTATGCCTGGAGGATTTCATGAAAGACAACATCAGCTACGCTGAAATCCGACCCAACTTCATGACTAGCAACCAACTCTGGAGCGATGACGGCACTCAGCTCATCGACAACAAAGGCATCATGGAACTGATAATCGAAGAGGTCAAAAACTTCCAGACCGACATGAAAAAGCAAGGAAAGTTCTTTGGTGGTCTGAAAGTGATTTACTGTACACCTCGATCATTTGCGCCAGCGCAGATCGATGCTGCTCTCAAAGAGTGCCTTAAATTTAAACAGATCTGGCCCGAGTGGATTGCAGGTAAGAGAATAAATTTCCCCCAAAGTTATATCCTAACAACAAAGTAGGTTTCGATCTTGTTGGTGAAGAGTCCAAAGGGCGCCCCATCAAGGACTTCATCCCCGAGCTTCTGAAGTTCCAGGAGGATTGCGACAGAGATGGCGTTGAAATTCCATTTCTATTTCACTGTGGCGAGACACTAGATATGGGAACCGATACAGATGGCAACCTTGTTGATGCCCTCCTGTTGAAATCGAAGAGAATTGGGCATGGGTTTGCGCTAGCTAAGCACCCATATGTGATGCAGCATATGAAGGAGCGCGGTGTTTGCCTCGAGCTGTGTCCCATCTCAAATGAGATATTGGGACTCACGCCTCGCGTCAGCGGTCACACAATGTATCAGCTTCTTGCCAACAATGTGCATTGCACGGTAAGCTCGGACAATGGTACACTGTTTAGGTAAGGTGCTTCCGGCAGAACAGACGACCAACATTGCTAACATAGCTTAACAGATCCTCTCTATCTCATGATTTCTACCAAGTGTTGGTTGGTAAGGCTGACATGGGCCTTTTTGGTTGGAAGCAACTGGCGTTGTGGAGTTTGGAGCACGCTTGCCTATCAAAGTCTGAATACAACCGTGTATTCAGCGACTGGGAGCAGAAGTGGAAAGAATTTGTCAAGTGGATGATCGAAGAATATGACGAGCAGCCGAAAGCTGTCTGATGATACGGACCGACGGGGCAATGTTTTGTTACGAAGCGAGTGAGCTACTCATGATTAACGTGGCGGTTGATTTGTTGACAAGATCGGAGTTTGGTGAATGGTAAGAAGGCGATGGCCGCTACGGTTTACTTACCTCCTAGAACGGCGTTTAGGATGGGTTTTTGAGACTACCGACGATAGATGAATGATTTGGAGGGCCATAGAGACAGCTTTGAGAACCAGAGGAGGACAAAGAAATATTGGTATCGACCGACTGATTATTCAACTCTCTTGCATAATTCGTCAGCCCTTTTCGATGTAGAGATGTAGAGGTCGTACGACACAGACCGCCTACGAGACATTTATCTAGGTCATCTATTGGATGAGCCGTAATCGCACAGCCCTGTTACACAGAGCTATTCGGCCTGAACTGCTGGTCGTTGGGTTGCGTTCTTGGCGGTGGTTGTAGGGTACTTGATGAGACTCGGCACAGAGGGAATTGCTGAGACTATGCCTTGAATCCAACCTAGAAACGAAGCCTACCTGAATTCAATCATATAATGAGAATCCATAGAGTCAAAGCTGAGGTTTTTATCTAGAACAGATAACGGTTAAATGCGCACAATTATTGTATCATTTGATTCAGCTGAGACGTGGGGAAGGAAAGCTTGGGAGCGGGTGCAGCCGCCGTGGCGCAGCGGTTCAGCGATCGATCCACTCGTTAACCATTTATGTCGAGAGGGCTGAAACTTCCTACCAAATGTGATTTAACTGACAAGCCCCGAGTTTCAATTCTGATTTCTCTTCATTCTGTCATCATGTTGCTCTGAATCTTGTATCTCACGTTTGTCCTCTTTTGGAGTTGTTTTCCATTGATTGTTCCTCGATATCGTTTGTTAGACGGACACCTCTTACCAGCTAAACCTCGATACCTCTCCTCCCTCCCATATTGTAAACCGTTAGGATGGCTGAACCTGGCAGCCCAGGCTGGAAATGGTTTCCCAATGTCAAGGCCAATTGGTCACTCGATGTCGTGACGCTTCTTGCGGTCATTGGGGAATCTTCTATGGCTGAACAGACCCAGACTATCACGGCATCGTTGCTGTGCCTGCTACCTCGACTGATCCCAGCCCCTCAGGCTCTGCTCAAGCCTTCACGTCCAAGCCGAATGCCTGAGACACTCGCAAAGATGACGGGCGTGTATAGCGGAACCACGCTCGACTCTGTGGGCTTCTTTGCCACTATAATTACTCCTTTGGATGCCCTGCAACCTTTCAGCTTCCGCGTGCTTGAGATCACTCATACGGACCCTTCTTTTGGAGACATCGATATGAATCCTCCTTCTGCACAAGAAAGTTGGTCTACTCGAAGTCTGAACTGGGTCAGATCTCATCGCTCAAATTCACACACCACTGAGGAACTGCCAAATGAAAAAGACCCCCAAAGCAACCGAATTCCCCGAGCCCCTCATATAGAAGATGGTGGGCTTCCTCTGCCAAACACAGCGCGAACAACGACATTTCGTCCTCCCGGTGACAGCTCTCCAAGCAATGCGGATGCACCCAAACCGCTCGCGCGCCGTCCTACGGCTAAGCAGAAAGTCCAAGATATGCTTGCCAACCCAACATTTGCCAACACGAAGAGACGTCCTGCGGTCCCAGCCAAGCTCTTCTCGCCTATCCACATCCTCTCAGTCTTTTCATGCCTTCTAAGCATAGCAATAATCACCTGTGCAGTGATATGGCAAGATGGAAACGCCATTCTGGCTGTTTCTCTGATATCCTTTGCGTCGACTGTGGTGGGCTATGCGTCATTCTGGCATCCCATTCTCATGAATCGCAAACACACCAATGAGGTCCCTAGAGGCGATGTTATGATCAGAACACGAGAAGGCGCGTTTCTACTTATCAAGTGCACAGAAGTTGTTGCTCGAGAATTGTACTCAGGGACCGAAGAGTGTCACTATCATGTTGGTGGCCGCACATATCGGCTTCTCATGGCCCTTGGGACGACTCTTCTTATGCTAAGCGTCGTGCTTCTTGGAAACTGCACATGGAACTCTCAGATATTTATCGGTGGAAGTTACATCGTCCTCAACGGACTATATTGGGGCTTGGGGATGCTCCCTCGATCATACTTTTGGGATCTCTCGCGGTACCAATGGCAGGACGTAACACCTGAAGACGCGAAGAATGCAAACGAAGTCACAAACTTGAATGACCAACGAGAGGGCTACCCGAGCTTCACACGTACTTTGTGGTTCGCTATCCGCGAGACTCAACTTACTGGCTGGGTTGGCCGCAGTGGAGCGGCTCCAGGTACGAAACAATGGAACAAGTGGCTCAAGGAAGCACTGCAGAATGCCAAGGATGGCAACAGATCATGGGACTCAGTGGCCAGAAAAGATGCCATTATGAAGGAGAGCCTCAGTGCAGATGAGATTCCTGATGAAGCGGCGCAACATGCGCCTGCGGTCGAAGTTCAGAATTCTCCCACGGAAAAGGACCGCACGACATTTTAGGACGAAGTGCAGCGAGTTTATAACAGGAAAATGAGCCAGACGAGGTTTTTGGTCTATGGGTGTAGCTGAATCTGGGGTATCTATCTTGTAACGGACATAAAAACCATTGGATTATTATTTATGTACCCTGGATATTGACGACACGAGCCCTTCTTTGAGGCATGATGTATAACGACTTATTTGAGTGTAGACTGAAGTTGGACATAGAGATACCCGGAAACCTTTGAAATTAATCATGTCTTGGAATAAAAAAAAGTCTAATAAACATGGATAGTGCCCCTAGAATGGCAGTAGAATGAATCTATGTATCTTTGGCGGTGACCGTGTCACGTTCCAAACGCCGGCTATTTCTAAACAAACGATGCTTCATCCTGCTCCAATTTTGGACTTCTCAAACAATAATTTTCAAAAAAAGGTATTTAATCATCGAAATAGATGCCCTTCTTATCGTGGATGTCGATGGCACCGCCACGGTAGCTGCCCCTCTTCTTCTTGTTCTTCTCCTTTGTAAAGCCCTTACCCTTGGTGACAATCAGATCCTCGTGAGCCTTTTGGGAATAGGCGATAGAGACGTATTCGTTGGAAGCGAACTTGGCGTCAACCTTGATGTTCTTGGGAATGCGGGAGAAGGGCTCGTTCTGCTTCTTGCGTCCGTTACCGTTCACAACGGGGTCCGGAGGAAGAGGTGGGTAAGCAGAGTTTGACTGGAACTCGGGCGACGTCTTGTCTAAAGTAACAGAAGAGTCGGAAGAATCCTTCACTTCTTTCTCCTTCTTGATCTTCTTGTCTTTCTTGGGCTCCTTTTCATCGGAGTCAGAGTCGCTGGAGTCGGAGTCGGAGTCGGAAGAAGAGCTGTCAGAGTCGGGAAGCGGCACCTTGGCAGCGGCCTCATCATCTGAGTCGCTGGAGTCAGAATCGGAGCTCGAATCAGAGCTCGAATCAGAGCTTGAATCGGAGCTAGAAGAGCCAGAGTCCGATTTGGCGCTCTCGTCGTCCGAGTCGCTGCTCGAATCACTATCGCTAGAATCGGAGGAATCGCTTGAGTCGGAGGAATCGCTGGATGAGGAAGAAGAGTCGCTGGAGGAGCTCGAGGAAGCGGCGCGCTTCTGCTTCTTGGCCTTGGGCTTATCCGAGTCAGATTCGGAATCGGAGGAGCTTGAGTCAGAATCAGAGTCCGAAGATGAATCAGAGGAGCTCTCGTCGACGGGAGCCTTTCGCTTCAGAGTGTTGGAGGCCTTGGGCTTGGCAGCCTCATCATCGCTGTCGTTATCGGAGCTGCTGTCGCTGTCGCTGTCCGAGGACGACTCAGCGTCTTTCATATCCACGTCCTCTTCCTTGGCGTCGCTCGAATCAGAGCTGGAGTCGCTGCTAGCAGAGCTGCTGGAGTCTTTCTTAGAGGACTTCTTCTTGCTAGACTTGCTAGACTTGCTACTATCATCGCCTTTGGTAGCCTCCCAAGTCTGGTAAACACTGACAAGGGAAGGATTACCCTCTTCATCGGTGGCAGCAGTCGCCTTCCAGCCCTTCTTCTCTCTCTGCTTCTTGAAAGCATCGGCAGCGCCCTTGAAAGAATGGTCAGATAGGAAATTCTCTACCAAGTCCATGAGCTGACCCGGGGGAGGCGTAGATGCGGCATCGTTCTTGGGAGCCGCGGCTTGTATGCTCTTCTTGCCCATGGTATCGGTTGAAGGGTTGATTGGATTCAGAGGGTTGTTGGAGAATAGCCACGAGGGAGGGCTTTGTTTGGAGCCAGACATACGCCAATGCAACGAAGTGAAGCCTGGGCAATTGCAAACAGCAAGAAATTGTCTTGAGTATCGGGGACTGACACAAATATTTCTTGGACGTCGCGCTGATCAAAGACTGGCTACAGAAAAATTTCTGTGGACGGGTGGATCGATGGTGGGGGCCTGCTATTGACGTTCTAATCGTTATCGATAGCTCCTTCATACCTACCTACTAACCTAGGTAGGCAAAGACTACTCATACCTGGCAAGTTGTGTCTGTAGCCGCCCTTGACGCAGAAGTAAACCCGTTAAGAATGACAGGGATTGCTCTGGACGTACACTACCGAAGGCGCTCTCACCACTAACTCATATACTTTAGCACACGCTAGCCAGGGGTAGGCTACATGCGCCGCTGGTACCATAGCGACCAGAGGAAAGCTGCCGAAGCTCAAGCATCATCACCTCGAGTCGAATTGTGATTGTAACAATACAAACCTCAACCAAATTCCGTCTTTATTGAACAAAATATACAGACCGCGTTCTTCAGCTCAAAATCGCGGACCGAAACAGAAAGCTTGGCCACGTTCGCAATATGTCAACGAACGCAACGAAACGGAAATTTAATACCTTATTGCAGGGCTTAGGATCATCGAGCGCGAAAGCCGCCAACGACACGTCGGCGCACGAGACCGACTCGCCTTCGAATCGCTCTACTACTTCGCCTGGCACAGAAACTCGTGTATCCGGCGTAGATGCCGAATTACTTCAAAAGCGTCGAAGATTAGGCTTTCCGGATTCAACGGCACCCAAAGCTGGCAAAAGAACAAATCTATCTGCGACCCTCTCTGCTATCGTTTCCCGACGCACACAAACACAGGACTCGTCCAAGAAACCTACAGGGGCGCCCGCGCGATATGCACCGACCGATCGAGGAGACCTTTTGAAAAGGCTAGGCACGTTCCAAGAAATAACAGACTGGACTCCAAAGCCGGATAAAGTGAATGAGATAGAATGGGCAAAGCGTGGGTGGGTTTGCCATAGCAAAGAAACAGTTCGCTGTCTTCTCTGCCATCGAGAACTGGTTGTCAAACTCAATCGCAAGGTTGTGGATGGAAAGGAGGTTCCTGTTCTCGTGGCATCTGAGATAGGTAGGCTCTCCCCCCCCTTGGACCCTTTATCATCGCGCTAATCTTCAGTAGAGGATGCATTGGTAGACAAGTATGCCGACCTCATTGTAACTTCTCACCAGGATGATTGTCTCTGGCGTAAGCGGGGCTGTGATGGTAAGTTGTTCTCGTCGGAAGCGCATATCGTCTTTGTTTTCTGACCTTGTTTGCAGATTCCCTTCTCCGGCTGTCTTTAACCAACGCGACTACGAGTCTTGCGGCTTTACGTGAGCGTTATGATGAGCTGCTAGCACGAAAATCATTCTTGCCCTATGAATTCAATCTTCGACTGCCAGAGGAGTTGAACTTGGACCATGTTCTTTCACATCTACCGAACGACTTCTTCACCAAACCAGCAGCAGCAAAGGATGCTGAGGCTCAGCCAAATCGAGTCGCACTATCGCTTGCCTTAATGGGATGGCAAGGCCTCAATAACGCCCGTATCGGTGCAGTGCCAAACTCGGCATCATGCCACACCTGTCTCAGGCGACTAGGATTGTGGATGTTCAAGAGCAAAGAGGTGGACGGGAATAATGAGATTCTGGTACCAGCCCCTATGGACTTCTTAGATCCAGCCCGAGAGCATCGCTTCTTCTGCCCGTGGGCGAACTCTGAGACTCAGAAGCAGGCACATTCCCAGAAGGCTTCTGAGCAAGACTTGCCAGGCTGGAAGGTGTTGGTGCGAACCATCGCGAACGAAGCACATCTTCGGAGTGTTTATGAGGGACGTTCACCGGCGAGGCCGCGAACTGAACGATCAATGGGAGCACCGTCCACGCCCCAGAGGCCTGGAACGGCCGCCTCCATCAATACGCCGACTCAAACCCCTGGCTCTGTTGGAGCTGGGGTAGAAAATGCCGAAGAAGATGAGAAAGAGAGAGATGTAAAGGATAAGGAGAGATGGGCGAGGTTGAAAAGAGTCAAGAGTTTGTTTGATACGAAAGGGAGCAGGAAGCTGAGGCACTCGATAAGCAAGTCCATTAGTAGACCCGGAACTGCCACTTCGACAAAATCGGCCAAATCAAATGGAGGCCTGGCGGAGTGATGGATAGAGTCTCTGCGTTTGTAAGTAAAACACTTGATGATACTATAGTTGCGATGTTAGCATAGGGGCAAGGCGCGGACGGGCAACTACCTCCTCAAGGCTGTATTAATACATTATTAAAGACGGGGCTGGCCCTCGCACCAACTTGCTTCTCTGAGGTGTCTTATCATGTCGAACGAACTATTGTACAATGATCAAGAGCTAGATATTACATATATGAGTCGACTGGGTTTCGACATCCAAGCTCATGATTTCCAAACGATATCATCAAAAGAGACGAGCTTCCCTGTATAAGCCTTAGTCTCAGGTTGCTTTTCTATCTTGTCTCCCAGAGAAAAGCCAGCCATCTCCAGTATTGCAAGTCTTACGCCCCCAATGCCACCCCTATCACCAAGCCGGCGGGATACCGACGCAATTTTGGAGGCTGTGGCATAAACATCCAGCACACGCCCAGACCCTTCCCTCCAGGAGGCAGCTGATTGGGCCTCTAAACCGCGCATGATGGCTTCGATCTGAGTATGAAGCCTGTGACATGCATCTTGCCACTCCTTTCCTGGCTTATCCGCTTTGGTGATGACGACCAATGTTCGAGTGTTAGATTGAGCAAGTGTTCTGAGCATCCATCTATCCGGTTCCTTGAGCTTCTTGTCGGCCGGTATCAAGATCACAGCACCACGAAGCATGTTCCTGACGTTGAGGTACTTCAGGATAGTCTTTCCCCATGCCTCTTGACTTTTAAATCCGTAGCCTGGCGTGTCCATAAGCACCAGGCTGTGATTTGGCGGTGCATCGCCCTTGCGTATAAGCTCCTTGGCAATCTTGGGACGTGGCCCAACACCATACGCATTCATCGTCGTAGTCTTGCCTGGTTTGTGGCTCACCTTGGCTATTTCCCGACCACCAAGAAGAGCATTGAGGAAAGATGATTTTCCTGCATTGGAGGCACCCAGTACAACAATTTCTGGGATGTGGTCGTTTTGGGGGTGGTCATGAAGGTTTTCGGCAGAGTAGAGTATCTGGTAGCGTTCTTCAAAGAACTTTCCTGCTGCTGCCAGAGCAGGCTTGTCTTCTTTCGGCACATCGACTGGCGAAGTTGAGCCCTGCTTGAAGCAGATCGACTCACTCTCTATCAATACCTGCTGATGGGGCTTGATTCCCTTAGGCAATGGTCCTCGCGGTTTAGCCTTTCGGGGTTTCGAGGTACTGTCATGGAGAGAAAAGCCTGGAACGATAATCTCCTGAGCAGACGGCTTGCTTCTGGGTTCCTCAGCCTTCACGTTGGAACTCAAGGTCGGCGTGACTGCAACTGGTGAAGTTGCAGGGCTGACTTGCTGTGCTTGGTTGGAAATACGACTTGTAGGTCGGCGAAGTGGTCGCTGACGCAGGTTCATCCGACCTGACATGCTGAAGTGAGCCTTCTGCCCGGCAACCTTGGAACATGACGATAAATAACATAGCGGATTTGACGGAAAGACTCGTAGTGGTGTCATGGTGACCTCTATTGAACGGGCAATGTATAGGTAGTGTAGGAGCTAGGTAACCCAGATATGAGAATTTTCGTCAAATGGGTTTCTCGTTCCAGTTCTGCGCACTCAAAAGAACATGGTCATTTCCATAAGACAGCAGCGTAAAATGACAGAAGAAAAAGAAGAAGAAAAAAGACAACCGGGAAGAAAGTACTAGTAACTGCATAGGTACCAGAGAAATGTGAGGTTTGCGATGGGCTCGAGGACGTCACGTGCTGCTTCAAGTGGTCCACCAGATTTCTAGATCACGACTGTGAGAACAAGTAGAATAACCTCGACTCGTTGGAGCAAGTCGAGGAAAAGCCTAGGTACATGCAAGAGGAACAACACTCGTGGGTCTTTTCCAAGGGAACCTATTCAAAGGGCTGATGTACTGAACGTCCAAGCTTCTAGTTTCCATCATCACGGCCAGAATGGCATCAGCAAACCTTAGTGAGATCGACGCCCACGAGCAGCCATCTGATGAGATGCGCGCTGAGTGGAAGAGCTACATGCGTCAAGATCACAAAAGTCTGCTTAACGACCCTCGAATCGATGACCCTCGCGCTCCCTTTGAAGAGTCTGGTTTCCGTCAAGTCTCGAGTCTTTCCAAAGAGCAGGTTGCAAAAAGTTTCGCTCACCTCAACCCTGAGTTTGCCTTACAGGTCGAGAAGGATGTTCCAGTTATACACCACCCTTTAATACCAGGTACATAAACCTCCTTGTCCTTAATATATCCACAACCTGACACAACCATAGGCCTGTTGATTCTTCCTTCACTTGTGCCCGAGAACGTGCAACAGGATTTACTGGATCGTCTGATCCATCGTGATCTCAGTGTCCAGAACCACCAGACCAACCTACATCTACACTACAACCTTCCATACCCACAAGGGAAGGACGACGATGAACGGTCATTCTTCTCTATCAGTCCAGAAACACCGGCATCATTTCTCCCAAAGGACCCCAGCGTTCATAAGCCACTGTCAATCAAGCAGGTTATGCAGCGAAAACTGCACTGGGTAACGCTTGGAGGCCAGTACGACTGGACCAACCGTGTTTACCCCGAGGAATTGCCTCCCCAGTTTCCCGATGATATCTCACACATGCTTCAGGGCCTGTTCCCCGAAACTGTTGCCCAAGCAGCCATTCTCAACTTCTACACGCCAGGCGATACTATGATGATGCACCGAGATGTCAGCGAGGAGACAGACAAGGGACTTATCAGTTTGAGTTTCGGCTGTGATGGGCTCTTCATGATTGCACCGAATGACTTTAAACAAGCCTCTCAAAATGAAACACCAAGCGAAAAACAGTATCTGCTCTTGAGGCTCAGATCTGGGGATGCTATCTACATGACCCAGGAGTCGAGATATGCCTGGCATGGAGTGCCCAAAGTGCTGAAGGATACATGCCCAAGTTATCTTGAAGATTGGCCAGCCCGTGGCGATGAGAAATTTGCGGATTGGGGAGGATGGATGAAAAACAAGAGAATCAACCTAAATGTCAGGCAAATGCGAGATTAGCAGACGAATACCTATTCGATAATCTTGATTAGAGCATACTGCTTATCCTGGCAAGTTCTATCACATTACTTGAAACTGAGCATTATCATTAGACGCTTTCATATGCTATTGTGAAAGTCACTCGTGCTTTCTCTCCAGTTGCTGGCTAAGCGTATAGAGTCTGGTCGCTACCCATGCAAAGCTCAACAGAACTGACTCCACACCTTATCCCATGAAAAACGCCTTATTAAGCAAAGCCAAATCCTTGAGCATTCTCAAGTGCCATCCCAAGCCGCTCTCTTAACACCTCTTTATCTTTATACTCCGGTAGAAGAAGTGTGCCATAACAGGTATATGCTGTCGGTAAGTGTCCACCCGCGCCATCTTCTTCACCATTTTTTTGTATTACAAATTGCAGATTCTTCATGCCGCCGACAGGAACACGGTCAGACGATGTCACAAATTCCAGAAGGCGTTGTTTCATTCTCTCGTCGTACCTCTTGACGATAGACCAGAAGTCTTTAATGGTACGATGCGAAGCATCCCAGCCCACGTAGCGAGCGTACCGCTTCAATTCGCTGATGTCAATTTCTTGAACACCCTCAACGAGTGACTGCAAGGTTGATGGGCTCAGGAGCGAGAGTGACTTTCTGTCGAGGCAAGAATTGAACCCTTGCTCGAAAGCAAGATACTGTCGTCGAATGGAAACATCCGTGAGGTGACGGATGTAATCGATGATGTAGTCGTCCCGATTTTCGTTGGTAACAAGGGGAGCGTCATCTGGGTTATCCATGTGTGGTGGTGCAATATCACAGGAACTTGAGGCTGCCTTGGGCCAGTCCGCTTGCTCGTCCATCCTCATATCTCGTGTCACAACGGTACCGAGAGATTCAACTGAAAATTCGTACGTGCGGGCAAAAATGTCCTCAACGAGGCCATCTTTTTCGTCCCACTCCAGTAATGTTGTTAGCCCGCTTGCCAAATCTGGCCAACCATCGGCGATATGGTGAAGCTCTTCAACCGGTTTGCCCAGCAGCTTCCGATAAAGGGCCTTCGGAAAAGTGATGGGCAGCGTCAGGCCATTGTACAAGGCGAGCGACATTAGAAGCCCCACTAGTTCGTACTTCCAATCTTCGGTCAATGACCCAGGGGTGAACCATGCCATGCGTGTTCGTTCGTCAACAGTGAAAGCACCATATTGGGGATCGAGGCACTCGGCAATTGCCAATCGGAAAAACTCTTGCTGGACACCTCCAGAATCAAAACCCTCTTCGCCACTATTCTCCCCCAAGTGCACCTTCAGCGGGCGAAGGAGCTCCCGTTTCTCTCGTCTCCAAAGCTGATCGAAGGCATCTCGGGCGACATTACTCCTGCCAATTTCGAGAACTAGGTATTTCGATGAAGCTGTTCTCAAAAGATCTTGTAAAACCATCTTGTGGTGGGGGTTAGTAATGAGACTACCGGGATCGACAATAGCGCTCATGCGAGTTTTTAACGAACTCGACTCTTCGAACATGCGACTCATCCGGGCAAAATTGATGGACCGAAAGAAAGAAACAAGCGTGTCGGGGCTGAAAATGTAAGGATAGTCCAGGATGTGTCGTCGCCAGCGTGTCGAATTGAACGCTAACCAGTCCACAGGCATCTCGATCGAATCTAGACGCTCCGAAAGATAGTCGACTCGAAATTGGATATCCCCAAGAAGGAGAAGATTTCGGTTGGCATCTTGCAGAAGTTAGTAAGGCCAGGTCCTATTGATTGGCTAATCGGAGCATCCACATACGTAAGGTCTCGATGAACGATAAAGCTCCCCCAAATGGTCCGTCCATGGTAAAATCGGCTCGACCGTCCCATTCGTTGAGTAATATGGTGCGTGCCCAATCTAGAAGAACAGTTGGCACTCGAGTCTCATGCAAAAGCCGCTCTGATTGCGGGAATTCCAGAATCGCCGCTGAGCCTGTACTGAGAAAATCGAGCTGGTCAACTAAAG